AGAAACAGCATCGCATTAACAAGTTTTGACAAACATGGCAGCATTTTGGCTTGACGTCATCTGTTTTTTTTTTGTTTTGTTTTGTTTTTGTTTGTTCTTTTTTGTTATGTCGGAGAGAAATTACCCTTTGTAGACTGTGGTCATTGATGTAAAGGCCACAATATTCCCAAAGACTTGCACTCAGACATAACAGACCCTCCAATCTTGACAGTGGTGGCATTTGGATGCCCTGCTGTATGACTAATCATTCAAAATTAAGTCACAAAATCTATTCCCACTGTCACCCCTCATACCCTCGATGCCTCTTTCTCCATATCACTCCATTCCTCCTCCAAACTGGCTAAATGTCAGCATTTCAATTGGGCTCATTAATACCTTCCTTTTTAGATGTCTCTCCAGTTAAGTAGTGTGTTGGGATGCTAAATGAGGGAGAAAGAATGATGGATGGGAATGGTGAGATATATATATATATATATATAAAAGATAAGATACAGGGAAAACTTTCCAATTCCATCTTTTTGTGAGGCTTTGGCTCTGAATCATGTGGCAGGTGTTTCCACTGACACAGCTGGTATTGGAATGACAATATTTACAGTAAAACTACATTTATTGACTCCATTTTCCTCTTTTCCATCATCACAACATATTTATTCCTCTCAATTAGCTTTAGCATTTTGGACTACATCTACAAATGTGGGCACCAAGGGCAGGATGAGTTAATGCAACTGTCTGACTTAATTTCAGACAGCGGGGCAAAAAGGTCATTTTGTAATTTTATGTACTGTAAATACGAAGTTCATACTATTATTGGCAAGCAGAGCATAAATGAATGACACTAAGAGTATAACAACACATCAAATATTACATCCAGTCCTTTTTGATGTCATTTAACTTGCGTAAAATCCACTTATACGTTGCGCATTTCTATATATAGTGCATGTATATAGAGAAAAATGTATCATTTACACAACCACATGCAGAATATACAAGAGGAATTTAGGTGCCAAACAGAAACTGAGGTGAAAACAAAACTTATGAGAGGCCAAGCAGACAGTGAGGATCTGAGGAATTACTGATGTAATGTCAAAGAGGTGAGTGGAAGGATGAAGGAGCACACAACAGGTGGATCAGATCTGTAGGAATACACAATGCAGCTGGGCACCTCTTCTAGCACTGCTGTTTTTTTTTTTTTCATTTCCATTCTTCATGTATCCACTCTGATTGTGATCAATAACTTTTGAACTTTTCTCTTATGTTTTTAAACCTTAGATTGTATATTATTCAACCTTATTTAGACCCCTTCTCTTATTTTGTTTATTGCTTTGTTGTCATTTACAAATGCACAATCCACAAATAAACTCGACTTTATTTGGAACTACATTTTATTTTAGCTAAATTTAAGAGAAGAAAATCTATTTCAGTCGATGCATGTTAACTACACCAGGTGCGATTTGACCCCATTTTAAAACCTCATCTTTCAAATGATCAAACTAGTGATACATTTGTTTGGACTGGCATGTATTATACCGTTTATTCAACTATAAAACATACATTCATTATGTTTTATGACAAAACATTATGTTGTTTTGTCATCTGGTGCTTACAAATGTTTCCCAGACAGCTTCCATATTTTTATGAGTTTTCTTCCTGGGTTTTCTTTCATAACATTTATTTCGTGTCTCACAATGAGAAATGCCCCCTGCATGACCTCATCAAAAAGCTTAAATTTGATGAGGTGCTATCCTTGAATGGCTGACACCAGTGATGTCTATGTGAGGAGGGGCAAAGTGCTAAGGTCTATCGTGGGACCTTCCCACTGTTCTAACTGTTCTATCCGTTTCTCCCTTTGAACCTCTGGGAGAAGTTGAGCTTAGATTATTATCCTTTAAAACAACCTTATTGCTTGCTTTGACCTCAGCTAAGCGAGTTAGTGGAATTCATGCCCTTTCTGTGTTTCAAGGCTGTATTAATTTTTCCCACAGCGACATAAAGGCCGTCCTGCAACCTAACCCAGCTTTAGTTCCGAAAGTGTTGTGTTCATGCTCTCTAATAGAGCTGACTTCTTTTCACTTGTCTCCATTTGCTTCGGAGGAGCAAAGGCATCCACATAATTTGTGACCAGTGAGTGCACTCCGGATTTGGACAGCGCGCGAGGTTTTAGGAAAACCAATCAATTATTTGTGTCTTGGGCAAAACCACGTACAGGAAAGCCTGTATCAAAGCAGTATCTTTCACACTGGATTGTGGAAGATATTACTCCGGCATAAAGGTTAGTGATGGAAGGAAGATAACCCTAATAAAACAGGTTTAATGAGAGAACAACATTAGAACATTATATAAAGCTAAAAAAGTTGGTTTTACATTATAACACTGCTAATGCAGCAGCTGTTTATAAAAGTTTCTGCCAATTGCCTCATTATATAAAGTGGAAATTTCATTACATGTTTTGGTTTCCAGCAGCCGAAGTACATGTTACTCTAAAGAAACAAGCTTTGTTTCTTTTTATATATACATTTCACATTATGTAATGCGAAAGCACTATGGCCAGGTCAAGATTTGCGCCGTCCTTCCTGCATCCATTCTTCAACAATTGTTATTAGCAAATTTGCCAGGAATAAAGAGATGCATAATATTCCAACGACAGGAAAATCTCACCTCCTTGTTTGAAGCATGAAGAAAAGCAATACATCACAACAGCGAGGTGATATTATCTGTGCCAGTGCTCTTCGGTTATCCAATTCAGAAGTACAAATTGCTGCATATTTGAACAAAATCAAGAAAATAAAACATTGACTTTGTGAGCATCTGCAAGCGTGCTGTGACTAGGCAGGTGTTTCTATTTTACTCTTGCATTTCATTTTAGGTCAAAGTGTTAATATCTAATAGCTTTCATAAAAAATACAGCAGCCATCACAGCTTGTTTGTTTGCACCGGTGCTGCAGGTGAGCAGTACAGACAACTGAATAAATTGAATAGGACTTTGGCCCTGAGGTAACCTGTGGGACATCGTTAGAAGGAAGCTGTGCTGATTAGTAAAGGACCCAAGGGTTCAGAAGAAGAATAATATCAACTCCGATTCTGCCTGATTTTTCCCTTGTCAAATACTCTACTCAATTGACTGTTTTTTTTTCTCCTGAAGCAATTTCTTTCTGCTCCTCTGGCTCTTTGTCTTTTAGCTGCAACAAGACGCGATGGGGTCAGTACCGACTGAATCTGTAGCACAGCTTCAGGGCAACTGGCTGCCATCAGTGGCAGCTCTGCGTATGGGTGGCAGGAGCCTGCATGATTAATCTTCTGCAGCTTTCAGCTGAGCCGTTGACACAATGAAAAGTTGCTCATATTAAAAGAAAAAAAAAATGTAATGAATAAAATAGTAAGCGTGAGTGAATGTGCTCCTGCATGGATTAAATCTGGGTGGCAGCTGAGCTGTGAACATGAGAAATATTTAAAGCCGACCGAAATTTAGACTAATGAAAGTTATATCAGAGCCCCACTACAAGAATCCTGCTAACGCGTTGGGTTGCCGAGGGGAAGAGAGAAAGGGAGACGTGGCATCACTTCATTTGAAATGAGACTTGCCCTTACTGCAAGATGTCTTTTACAAGATTAATTAACAGATCCGCTGGATGTACTCTCCTTTAAGAGTGCATGTGTGTCTGCCTCAGTGTGAGTATTTCATCAAAGCCTGCCAGATGTGAGGAGTTCACCCAATTAGTTAAAGAGTCCGGGCCCACACACCTGTCTACCTGAGCACACAATGGCCTGCGGCTGCGCACATGCATTTGCACATTAATTAACCAAATTCGACCATGAATTAGTCAGTGAGATAACATAATGACTAGCCACTCAAAAGCTGGTTACACTAGGGAGGGGAAAGGGTGGAGGCAGAATCAAACGTGTGCTGAGGCGAGATGAACAGACGTGTGCCTGAGAATTATGAAATGAATATAGATGTGATTGTAGAGTTAATTTTGCAGCTTTAAATAAAAACTACATTCATTGTTGTGATAAAAACAATGAATGTTTTATCACAATTGATTCAAAGTGGATTGCACATGATAGTCACATCTGCAAACATAATTAAATACATTTTCATCTTAAAGTTAAAAAAAATGACTTTCTTTGGCTTCTTTTTTTAAACCTTTTAGTTTCCCACAATTTTTTTTTCCTGTTCCATCCAAGGATCCTAAAGTGATAAATCATCATTGTGTCTGAACATAAACGACATAATGAAAGACTGATGAGATGTAGAAAGAGGAAAGCTTGACATAGCTTTAAAATATATTTTCCATGATTAGATTACAGCTGGATGTTACGTCTTCTAAGGTGACAAATGTTTCACATCCATGTGTTAATATGTTCCTGTCATGTAAAGTAATTTTATACAGTTGTGCTCGTATGTTTACATATTCTTACAGAGTGTTTTTGATTTCCTAGTAATTGTCTAAAGAACATGAATGATAAGACAAACATGTTTTTCCCCCCTCATCATTAGTTGTTAAATGAAGGCATTTAGTGAAACAAACCATTTTACACTGATAAAATGTGTAACACACACTCAGAACGCTGATAGACAGGAAAAAGGACAGAAATGTAAAAAACCTTCAAAAAGCATCAAAAATTACTGATTAGAGGCAACTTTAAAGTGTTATAAGAAGATCTGGCTATGTGGAAGCAAAGTATGCAGAATTTAGGAGCAAACCACTTTGCTCAATTACATTTCCCACAGAAATGAGTGATTTCTTGGTCCACCCCTTCTTCTGTTTTCTAGTTCTCCAAATTAATTCTTCTTTTCGCTCCTTAATTTCAAGTACACCCTCAAAAAGAATTATAACCAAGCCTCTATAATCTCCTGCAAATTAATAATTTTTAGCTTTTTGAAAAAAAAAAAAAAAAAAAATGCTGGGAATAAAACGTCATTTCTCAAGTGCTACAAAATTAACACTCCATGTGCAGGGGGTAAATGATTGCCATTACAAGCATGCGTGTGTTTGCATCACCTCTCTGTCTTTGAGCACAGCCTGAGTCCTGTAGAGCAGCAGAAGACGGACGTCGTGGTCTATCAGACTGAAGTTACTTTCCAGGATCTGCAGCACGTCGATGCGAGGCCTCACCGGGAGGGATGCGTCACCGCAGAACGGACGCAGCCAAGCCAGCAGGTCATCTGAAGTCACAGTGCTGTCACTGATGGAAGAAGGGCAGAGAGACGGCAGTCAGACAGACCAAGAGAGATAAGGGAAGCTCAGACTGGCAGAGGATGTGTGTGTGTGGGTTACTCTCAGAAGAGATCAACAGGTTGGGCTTATGTGTTTCCAAAAAAAAAAAAAAAAAAAAATAAAAAAAGCCTGCACAGAATTACTTCACAGTGATAAACAGCCTAAAAGCTAGATGTGAGTGACATTTAAGAGTCCTGAAATCATTCAGCAAAAAAAAAAAGAAAAAAAAAAAAGCATAAAACCTGAGTCGATAATAAATAAGATCTTTAAGGCTGCTTTTCTGGCCTGAACAAAATTTGAACTTTTGCCAGTGTACTCAGTACTCTATAACACCAGTCAAAATCTAATTATTGCACACAAATAAAAATGTTTTGCAGTGCAAATGTAGAAATCTACAATTGATTGACATTCTCGTCAATACCCGAACTTAATTAGCCACAATTTTGTATTCAGTACAATTTTGTATCAAGTGGGTCTCAGAAATCCTGATTATTTTTAATTTTATGCCATTCTGTTGTGGATTTGCCGATGTGCTTTGTCTTAGGACTCGTTTTCAAGATTCACACAACCTTGCAGTTGAAAAGGATATGTTTACTTCTTGAGGATCACAAGTCCTCAAGAGGTAAGATTAAACTTTCAATAGGCATGAGGGGACAAGTGGAACCTACCCGCTCTGCACATTGTTGTGCACAGACGCCACCAACCCCTCCAGGACCCCGAGGGGTTGAGGGTAATTTGTCAGGGCAGTTTGGTCTCCACTGAAACGAAAATAAAAATCAAAATTCTATTTAAAACAATGCAGGATCATAATAACATTTTTGGTAAAGTCAAGGGACAACAAAGTGCTTGCTTGAGACAATTAAAAAAAAACAAACAAAAAAAAACACTGTTTTTAAAAGTGAACCAGAAAAAAGTTAAATAAACAAGCAGTAGAAAAAACCTCATAGGCTCTATAAGTTTGGTTAATTAACATGATCATTTGAATTCTCACGTCCAATGGGTTGTAAATTAAATTGATTTAAAAACACAAACTAGCAATCTGAAAGAGAAACTGGGACATCATTAGTATTTCTGTTTTTGTGGTTCTGACATCTGCCTCTTTTCCCCGTGTTGTTCCTGGGACCGTATCCACGCAAAAGACTCATATCTTGGCATATATAAACCACAAAACACACAAATGTTCTTCCACAAATGAGGGAGATGAGACAGCATTTTCTCTTTTGCATTTTCCCACTTGGATTTTTCTCCTTGGAAAACACACACGCACAGACGCACACAAACAGAGTGGTTATGACAGATACAAAAGACAGCCATTAGCGTTAGGCTCGGCTCTGCCTGCTGCACCAGACCGGAAAGCTTTTCGGGGGAGCCAAAAACCAGACTGGCTCATTCATAACTGCCAAACACTTTCAGGACAGCCCTAAAACAATAAGTAAAGGCAAATTTCTGAAAGCCATGAACACGACAAAGAAAATCCACCTCTAATTGGATACAGCGAAGCTCTGCGTAAGCATACATACAACCAACAACCAGATATATGGAAGTGTGGATGAAGTCTGGAGGAGAACATCTACACGAGGGTGCACTACTTATCGGAAGACAATGAATCAGAGAAAAAGCACAAAAACACATGCAAGACAGAGAGTGTGTGTTCATCACAAGTAGTGCATGCGCGTCTGCATGAATACAAATGAGAATCTGCGGATGTGCACAATCATCTTCTGCTGGTGTATAAATGCAGGTGCCATTAATCTGCACCATGCACCATTGAGCAGCCATAAAAAGCAGGAAATGAGGCAGGACTATAATCAAGGTGATTGGTGCTCATTTATCAAGCCAATCAAATGGCCAGATTAGATCTGGCCCCGTCGGTATAACAAAAGAGGTCCTCGAGGCTGAAAGGGCAACCAGAATGAGTAGAACTTCCTTCCTTTTAGGTCATATCAATAACCCAGAATCTCCTCAATTCTCTGTTTTTCACCAAGCTCAGTAATGACTGTATAAAGTTTTTGCACGCTGAGTCACACAATATCCACGTATTTGGCATGGCTTTTAAATCTAGCAGCTCCACAGGCATGTCAGCACGAATCATCTCTCCGTTCCTTTTGAGTGCTCAGAGCTGAACTCCCACAGGCAGTTTCTGTACATTCAGGCTTCTCTTTTGACAGTATTCTTCCCAACAGCATGCTGAGCCCGGAGTGGACCGATATGCTGAATATTTTCTGATAAGTGCCAACAAAGATCAGGTTGTGGGAGTTGTGTTAAGGTGGCCTGATCCTAAGCCTCTTTTTGTATTCGTATATAATTTTAACACATATTTAGTATCATTGTTTTTATTGTATCATCGTGAGAGACAGTATGTGTGAAAATATAGCAAAGGAACGATGCTGTTGTTTAGCGTGCATTTGTATAAAATATAATAATGATAATAAAAAAAAGATAGACAAAAAAACTGATTTTCTTTCAGCAAGCAAAAAAAAAAAAAAAGAAAGAGAAGAGAAACAGAAAAAAAAAGTTTTGGCTGCATGTAGATTTCTGTAACAATTAAGATACCTAATGATGTGGTCTATTTTAAAAAATATATATATTTTTACCATATTTTCTAAAAAAAGAAAAAAAAAAAAAAATCTCAACTCAAAAATTCAATTAAGTTTGCATTTTTACTCAGCAAAGCCTCTTTAGCATTCTGTTTGTGGTGAAATAAGAAAAATGTTAAGCTTTGTTTCTTAAAAGTTTCTAACGATATAATTTTTTTTTTTTTTTAAAACTAGTGTGTGAAATGTGTTTTGAGCGAGGCTGTCAGAGAATTAAATTACATCCATGTACAGCATCTAATTTTAGGTTGAGTTCGGTTTTCAGTGTTTATACGTCAATTAAGCAGGGAACGTTCAGGCTTTCAAAACAAAGCTTTTAAGAGTTTTCCACGGCAATAGGTCAACATAGTGAATCAGTAAGTTAGCTATGTCCTCACACAGGAGTGAGATACTATTTCTTCTTTTGCAAACGTCTGTAAATGTGTATGACGAACCCTTTATTTTGGCGTGTAGTTTTGATTCCTCACTTGAGTTCCTTGTGCTCTGACAAGAGAGAAAGTGAGAAACAGAGAGAAAGTGAGTGATCTTACCCAAGTGCTGCCACGACCCTCTGCACAGCCTCCTGAAGCACAGTTTTGACAGACAGGTCGAGCGGTCCAACAGCTACAGACAGAAGCTCTTTAATCTGCTCCAGAGGATGTCCGTCAGTTGCCATTTTGACTGCCAACTCGCAAATTTTTGACCTTTCAGACCGCGACAAATCATAAAGTTGACTGTAGCGCTGTCGCTGTTCCTAAAGTAGAGAGAGGTAAAAAGAGTAACGGCTGAGACAAAACCAAAAAGAGTCTGTTGAACGGAAACGTTTTATTGAATTGCGTTAGGGGTATTTTAAAATGTGGACTACATCAATTAAAGATGTTTACGTCTGTACATTACAGACCTTTGGATGTACATTTGTAGGAGTTAGGCTTTTGTCTTAGTGAATCCCAAACCTCTTTAAATTTAAATGTCTTTTAACTTTAATGCTTTTGCCTGCAAAATATGTGTCTTTCTCGCAGATATAAACCAAATCATTTCTTCTAATGTATTCCATTAGAGATGCTGGTATAAAAGATGTACACTTAATCCGCTATGCACTTTGATCATGACACGAGTACGTTTTTTTTTTTTTTTTTAATCAAATATGGGCTTTTGTATTACCGAGACAATATTAAGGACTTGATACTGATATCTTATTATTGTTCCTTCTGTTGAAATGAGACAGAGATCATTTATATGAGATACTTAATTATAATATTATATCCATCAGCGGTGTGCCAGCTAAAGCCTGAGGAGTGCCTGATTGGATAACATTTTATATGCAGCAGTTTCACTGTGGTCCCTCATGTTCCTGGCAATATAGTCTGAGGCTGAGCGCCTGATGAAAAAATACAGCGATTTTGGTAATATGCCAATTATGTGCAATGGACATGATGATGAGTGAATGTGCTATAACATTAAGCTTTCAATTCATCAGTCCTTGCTCCGGCTCTGAGAGGAATGAAAATTACGGAGCAGGATTGAACTTTTCAGTAAAATAACGCAGAGAACAGATTTTGATTGGGATGTTTATTCTGGAGAGCAATTCTGTGTCCATAGCACTTTGCCAGTTTGCAGAATCAATCTCCAGTGTAGATTATTGTGATTTCATGTGTTAAACTACCACAAAGTGCATCTTAAATGTAATGTTCAACATTTTATGGCCTCATGAATGAAATCTGAATAGTGTGGGATGCATTTATTTTCCAAGTCCACAACTCTATCCTTGAGTCGTCAGCTTACTTCTCTGGTGTTCACGGTGCTGTTTGTTCATAAATATTCTCTTAATAAAATCTGTGAGTCCTTCCTGGAACAACTGCATTTATACAGAGATTCAATTAAACACAGTCAGAACATGTTTCCTATTTAAAGCTGGGACCTAAACGCAGTTGGTGGAACAGAATTTTACTTAAGGACATCAGAGGGGTTCAATGGAAATAAACATCACACGTCTAAGATTATTTGTAAATATATTTAGATTAATATACCATTATCCTTACACTTTACAATCAAACATTGTTCTGTAAGCATAAAAACAGTTCAAGCGGTATAAATACTTTTGCAAGGCAGTGTGTATGATATCCAGAGCAGGAATTTTGTTCTCCTATTGCCAGGTCAGTGCACCTGTTGTTGCAGTGGATCATGTCCTGTTGATAAATGAACTCTTTATAGCCCAAAGAACCCATAGAACTCCATATATCCATCTTTCTCCCGCTTTCTGGCCTTTCCCACTCCTTAATATGCTTTTTATCCTCTAAGGATGCAATCGCTTCACCCACTAAAATAGGTGAAGTTTCATTAAAGGGGATAACGTGTCTGATAACGTGTTCTGCACACATGCACCTGTGACTCTGTCCGAACGCTCTGCCTTGTAATGCTTGTACCTTCGCCTCTATTATGGAGGATTTGTGCTCTTAAACACAGATAAATTGGGGGCTAAATATCACCAACTTACATGGTGTGGCGGTCAAGCCGGTTCTCAGCGCAGCCTCGTGGTCGCATAGCAACACCCAGCTCACCAAATCACAACGGTCCGTTTCTCTGGCCAAGCATCCATTTAGTGTTTGCACATGTGCATGGGGACAGCGAGGCGACAGCGGGGTTAAGTCAGAGTGACTTTATTTAATGAGATACAGCATGGTGCATGTGCCATGTATATGTCCATATGGAGGGGGCTCATTTTAAACAGCAGACAGTAGATTTACATTAATATACCCTTGACCGGCCTCTGTGTGCCGTGGAAGAGCTTAGCAGAGCAGAACCAGCCAAAATATGCAACCACATATACAGAATAAACACTCGCAAACACCATCTGGAGGTCAAACTAGAGGCCATCTCATGGTAGGGAAATGAGAAATGCCTGCTTGTATGCGCGTGCGTGTGTGTCAGAATATCAAAAACACATACCCAAAAGACTGGAAGACTGGTCAACATGCCTGTTGCTTCCATCCGTTGCAATACTTTGCATACTAGCATTTAATAAAATAAACCCAATGTATTACAGGTGAGTAACTTTGCAGAGGTAACCCATACCAATGCAAAGGGCAGGGCTGCCTGAATATAACTGGCTTAAATGTAGAGTTTATTTGCCTTGGACTTTCAGTTTTTTGCCCTTTGTTTATCAGGAAATAAACTAGCTCTTGATGTATGCTATTTTTTTTTCTAAACCTAGGTGTTTATGAGGGAGGACTCCCAAATGTTTTTAATGCTACTTTTGTTTGCAGACTTGAATTTGAATATACCACCGATACTGGCACAGTTGCCATAGTGGGCCATGAGCGAGTCTCACAAAGGACTAAAGAAAGTGAGCTTGATGCTAAAGCTTCATAGGATGCGTTTAATTTTTCCCATGACTGATTTTAGAGTTTTTTAAAGACTTCTGTGGGACTAGTGGACATTTATTCCACAGTTTGCAGAAAGACAAAATAGGTAAACAAGGGGGAAGATATGGAGGAAAGGCCCCAAGGCTGGGTTTGAGATACATGATTCACCAGTCCCTGATATCAAATTTAATAAGAATGTTTTTTCTTATTTTAAGTTTAAAACACCTTTTTAGCTCATCAAAGGATAAAATAAAAATCCTCAATTTATTTAACAACAAATAATTTTGTGTTTCAATCCATTTTGGGTAAAACAATTATGTGCATCTTATTGAAAACAAACAAAAAAAATTCTGTGGAAACATAAATAAAACAATTTAAACAGCCTTTAGAAATGCTATCATTAGTACTTTAAAAAAAATATTTTATTACAATACTTTTTTTTTTTTACATAAATACAAATCAGTCCCATATGACTAACATAAAAAAATCTGCATAATATATATATATATATTTCATTTGAAACATTTTCTTTTTTCTTAAGTTGATATTTTTAACACACTGTTGCATAAAGAGAAATTCTCATCCTGAAAGAAAAAAGAAAATATAGCTGAACTGTGGCAGATGTGTCCTACCTGCTGGCTGTCTTTGAGTGACAGGACGAAGGCATGACTCAGAGTGTCCAGGTGGGCCTCGGATTGCTGCAGGTGTGCTAGAGCCTCGTCAGAAGTCATTCCTGTTGGGTCCGTACCTTCATGCTCTCCACTATTATCAATTCCTTTCTTCCTGTTCTTTTCGGCCAGCTGGCGCAGGGCTCTGGAGGCTCGCTTTATCACCTCCGACCTTGCTTGGACGCTCAGCTGGACGGGGAATAGAGGACATGGAAGGTCATAGGACGAAGGACGGGGAGAAATGTGATAAGAAAAGCAAATGAGTGGGGAAGATTGAGGTCAAATTGAGCAAAGAGAGGGAGGACAGGATTGGCAGGTGATATTTATTAATTCAGAACATAACATGCTGAAGGTATGCGATCGATCTCGATGGAAATAATATCAGGAACCTGAAGTGTAAATGCGCGGGAGAAGCAGGTCAGCGAGAGAAGCGTGTGTAAGAGACATCATAGAAGTCAGGCTAATGTGATTGATTTTATTCAGTGTGAGCAGGTTAACTATTCATGCGGAGAGGAGAGGGCCTTTGGCTGAAGGTTTTACCCTCTTACATGAAAGCAGACAGCCGTTGACATGTTCTGCACACACAATCAAACCGAGGTGGATACACCAACATTATCTGGCTTCACAGCTGCCACTTCTCATTCAAGCATAATAGATATTTTGAAGCCATCAGATTTTTTTTTCTCCACCAGCACAAGATGGTGTTTCAAACATTCAGACCCACAGTATTAAATTGCACCTTGAACTTTTTCACATTTTGTCACGTTAAAAATATACTTTTATCATGTAACATTGTCTTATGTACTGACTACATGTAAGGATGTATGAACATGCAGATAGATAGAAATACAAATATACAAATTGACTACATCGCTTAATATCTCAACCTGATGAATCTTTAACTTTGTTCTGAAAGAAAAAATAAACCATTCTGTGTTGATTAATCCAGTTCCGATTTGACTGTCTTAAATTTGATCAAGACATGCTGTCCGATCTGACCCAAACATAGGTTGGGATTTTTTTTTTTTTTTTTTTTTTTTTTTTTCTTAATTTCCCGGCCAGAATTGTTTTTTTTAAACTT